CAAACCTGGGCTCTCCTACATACCAACTCCATAAACTAACGTTATGGGTAAGTTGGTGATTATTTAGATGGTAAAAACTGATTAGAAATTGTGGTCTCTGACAAAATATGTTTTTGTTTAGTAAAAGACTCAGTTTGAACTGTGGGAGAAACTTTTAAAAAATTTTTCCTGGTGCATTCTGACGCGTTTTCCCTCGAGCTTCTATTTCATTGCACTAATAGGCCATTAACAGATAAGATACATTTTATGAGTCCATTAAGGAAGTGTAAGTTAAATGACAATCGAAGGGTCAAGTCATTGTAATTTCCCATGATGGTCCAGTGGTGCAGGTTGAGTTGGCGGACATAATTGGCTTTGCTCATTCTGCTCTAGGGAGATGCCTTCAGACTTGTGTCTTTGCAGTCGTTTATTAACATTTAATACGTATGCTGTTTTCCTTCAGACAGACAGAGGACCAAGCCCTCTCTCTTCACTGCAGCTTGTTTGCCGGCATCCATGTTTAATACAGTGTAGTCAGCTCTGGAAACATCACCCTGCTGATCTCAAGGCCATGTGGAGGGGGAGGTGAAGGTGACGGCAGCCCTCGTTTGTCGCATGCGTGACACTTTGTGCTGCTCATCTAAGTCGGCTGGTACCTGCTTTATTGTCCTCCACCAACAACCTGAACCCACAGGCCACCTATTTTTCAAAAAATAACACAGTAAAATTTGTTTGGATTTTGAATGTGATTTAAAAAAGTAATGCTTTTAACAATACTGTTGTCACTAAGAATCATTACAGAGAACCCGTACCATTGTAGGTATAGTGAAATTATGAAAATGAACATTTACATTTATCCTCCGGCCATCCAAGATGTAGATGAGTTTGTTTCTTCACCAGAACAGATTTGGAGAAATCTAGCATTACATCACTTGATCAGCAATGGATCCTCTGCACTGAATGGGTGCCGTCAGAATAAGAGTCCAAACAGCTGATAAAAACATCACAATAATTCACAAGTAATCCACACAAATCCAGTCCATCCATTTAACATCTTCTAAAGTGAAAAGCTGCATGTTTGAATGGAACAAATACATTATAAAGATGTTTTTAAATTCAAACCATTGCTGCTGTCTAAAATACAAGTCCTCTATCTATAATATTGCTTTCTCCAGTGAAAAAGTCATCTAATCTGAATCAGGAGAGAAATATGCACAGATCAAGCACTGATTACAAGCAAAAATAGTCCAAAACAGTTCTAAACAAATATGTTGGTGGATTTTTATGTGAGAGATCAGTAGGGGATTAACTTTTTCACTTAGGGATTATTATGGATTATAGATTATGGGTTCGTATTTTGGCCATGACTTAAAGTTAAAATGCCTTAATGATGGATTTGTTTCTTACAAACACGCAGCTTTTCACTTCACAAGACTTTAATTGAGTATTGTGGATTATTGTGATGCTTTTAGTAGCTGTTTGGACTCTCATTCTGACGGCACCCATTCACTGCAGAGGATGCATTGTTAAGCAAGTAATGTAATGCTAGATTTCTCCAAATTTGTTTCAAAGAAGAAACAAACTCATCTACATCTTTGATGGACTGAGAGTAAATTTTGAGCAAATTTTCATTTTTGGAAGAACTATTTCTTTAATCATAAAACAGTGAAATGGGTGAAGAACTCCCTTGAGTGAGAAAAAGCAACTTGGTAAGCAGGATAAAAAATAAAGCAAACAAAAACACCCCTATGGAGAAGAAGCCATCTGCCTGTGCTAGGCACACATTTCTAAAAATGAATCATCAATCTGTTCTTAAACTATAGTAAACAATTACATGACTCCAACACTGTGTTGAAAGGCAGCAACGTAAATAAAATAATCCACCTATGTGGCAATAAAGGAAATGAAGTCCATATTGCATATAAATCAGCGCAGAAAAAACATCCGGCTACTCCAGGCAGGCCACCGACTGGGCTTTGGCCATGCAGAGAATTACATTACAGAAATTTCTTCTATTTCAAACGTGGTGATAAACTCAAAGTACACCATGAAACAATAAAAACCGCTGACCAAACAGCCTCAGTGTCACCCGCTGTGCTCTTTGGCACCTCGGAGTGTTCGTGCTAAAACTCGGTCTTACGTAAGCATAAACTGAGATCATTGCATTTCTGAAATAATTGCCTAGAAATATTCCCAAGCGCCAAACTTCATCTGGTTGAAGACTCTGAACAATAGAGAATAGAAAGCATAAAGCCTTCTCTGATGAATTGAAATAAGAAGCATGCGCTGTAGTTGTGCTGTCAGACATTGTGTTAATTTCATTACAAAAAAGATTTTACAAATATTTGCATCCAGTCACTCTTTGATTTAAAACAGAATCGTGGGATTGGGCTGCAGCGCTGTAATAAAGCCAACAGAGCAAATACAATAACGTATGATCTGTCAGCGAACACAATGTACACAGAAAGCACAAAAGAACGCGCTTTCCTCTATCCTGATATTGATACTTTTCCTATTTTACTGCAGCACACGCACTGCTGAAAGATGCCCGATTTCTTGAATGCTCTGAATCAGCTGATAAATAATGCATACACATTTATTGATTAATATTTCACTAGGTGGAGGTTGCTGAGGAATTCTTGAACAGGCCAATAATGCCTTGCGTGATAAACATTGTGTGTTTTCCTGCCATTGACTCAAGGATTCGAAGGGACGTACGTTTGCAATTGAATCTGACAGTATGGTATTACAGCTCATAACAATTTGTGCATCTTACTGCCTCTAATGACACTTGTGGTTATTGGCAAAGTGAAGGTTAAGTTAATGAGCTGTGGACGGTCATCAGTGCTTTGCATCCAGCAATGAGTTAATAAAATATCAAACCACTGGATGTATTTGCACAGTCCAAGGCTGTGCATGTATTTCTTGGCTTGGTCCTCGAAAAAAAGATTTTTGAACCAATGCCATCAGAGTAAATGCTCAAGGGCAACGCAGACTCCGGAAACTTCAGTAAAAAAAAAAAAAAAAACAGCCCAGCACTGCAACAGCCTATCAGCCTTAACCTCAGCTTCATGTTCTCTGCAGTGTGTCTCCCATGTTCTACCTGGTCAGGCATGATAAGCTTACAAACTCCATCACAGTGCCTGTATTATGCATGGTTTGTTCAGCAGCCTCAACATAGCACAGTGTATAAAGATGTTGTGGTTGACCATGTCCCACGTTGCTAAATTTATTCTCAATATGTATCAAACTAATTATTAGACTATTGATCGATCTGTTGATCTATGTGTCATCTGAAACTGGAAATAATAGTGTTATTCTAGTTAAAATCACAGTAGCAGAATGATATCTTTTGCATACATATGTAAGTTATAGCACAAGCAGTATCAAAACATTAATTTGAACACTTATCCAGGCTCGTTTGAACACTGTTAGTTCTGCAGAACACTATATATTTTTCTCTCTCCATGTGAGCAATGGTTTTGACATCAGATCACCAATTAGTTTAGCATCTAAATTGGTGGGTGGCAAGCCAAGGAAAAATAACAATGCTAATAATAAAACAGAATATGAATAAAAAATAAATGCAAATAATAAAACTTGCAGTAGGCTGCATGGAGGGAAAAAACATGAAGCTATATTCACACATTCCATATTGTTGTAGCCACACATTTTTACAAAATGTACAAAATTGCCTTTCCTATTCAGTCTGTCATGTAAATTTTTGCATATTGCTTATGTAACATCAATTAAATTTCAAGATTTTTGGGAACCTTTTGTCTATCTATCTATCTATCTATCTATCTTTTGCTTCTATTTCACTATATTTTACCACAAAACACAATGTTTTCTTTTTAGGCTACATGAGGAAATTGTTTTTGGCATCTGAATACCAATTATCTGGGATCTTTTAAACGTTTCATTGCATGCCTTTCATTATGATTTAATTATCTTTTTTCCCCCTTTTATATGGAAAAGACGAGAAAACATGGCAATGGAGAGTCTTCATTTAGACGTGATAAATGTTACGGGAGGAATGTACTGATGCTGCACGATGCTATTTGCATCAGATAAACCTCTGTAAAAAAAGAAGAAAGCACGGAGCTAAAACTGCCTTTCATGCCATTATTAACGACATTATCCAAGATGTAATATCTCATACACATACATACACACCTCACATTACTTGTTTATCGTAGCAAAATATAAAAACGAACAGCAAGAACAACAAAGACGGCGTTGAGGGGCTCTCTTTAGACGTTACGTTGAGTCTGACATCATGGGAGCTCCGCAAGCTTAAAAGAGACGGTAAAAAATACAACGGGAGAATCACAGAAGGCTCTCATTGTGGAATGATAACGACTACAACGGCGTCTCCTGTCAGCTCCTCTTCCCGCCGCGCAAGGCAGCAGCAGTCACGTGACAGCAGCGAGGGCTCACAGACTGAGAGAGAACGATCGCGCTTCATTCGCCATACTGTGTTTTGTGCCATAACGCATTTTTATCGCAACATTTTACTCCCACTCGGTGAGTACGTTTCCAGGCCTTTTTGTAACCCTTTTTGTCTTTTCACTTGCTCTTTTTTTATTTTTTTTCTCTCTCCTTTTGCTGGGGTTTGAGCGTTGAGATTTGAAAAAGTGTTGTTTTGATGCGTTTTTCGATCCGTACCTCAAGTTTTTAGTATGCAGTGATTCCTATTCAGTACTGAGTGACACTGGCCAAGTACGTGCTTGCAGTCGTGTGAAATCATGCAACTGGTTTTTAAATGGCCTTGGCAGGTCTATTTTTACGTATGTACGATGATATTTGTTTTGAACCCTTTTTCCTTTTTTGTTCTCTGCCATAGACTTTTGCTGTAGATATGCTTTGCTTGTATTTTGCGCTGTTGTTCATGAGAGTTTTGTGATTTTGATGTCACCGAGCGAAGCATTTGCTTTTATTTTGGTCTTTTCTTTACCCGAAAGTCATTTTCAGACCTGGTGACGTTTTAATGGAAACTTTTCTCGCAGCATACCTGTCACGTTTGTTTATTTTTGCTGGTTTTTCTTTCATTTTTTTAAAATGCCTTATACTTTTGCAGATGATTTTAAGGTGAAGTGATTTTTGGATGTGATCATTTTTCACGTAGATGATGCAGATTAAGGTGTCTATGAAGGGAATAATTGTTTCTTTGGGGAAAATATCAATCAGTGCGTCTTTGCTTTCACCGAAGATGAACAGACTCTCCTTTGCAGGTATATAAAGACAAGAAATCAAACCTTTCAGCACATGTTTGTTTGCAATAAAAGCAAGGCGATTCTGAAATGTTAATCTGTGAATGATGTATTCTTTGGCTGTGAGGTTTATCATCAAATACACATCTGTAGTTGTGCTTGTGCATAACCACATTGCAAGTGAATGTGAAACTTAAGTGGTACCTCTGTAAATCATACCTTTATCGTTGTATAAATTACAATAAGTGGATGTCTCACTCACCTTATGTGGATTTAATAATGATGTATTTAAAAGATTCATCCCATATGTCATTTACTTTATAACTGTTCAGATGCCTGGGTAAGTTGGTCCTGCTATCTGTATTTTAGATATAATCTTCAACAGTTTCAGACTGTAACTATGTGTTGGATGCCAAATATTTTCACTGTGAGGTTTGGATGATTTCTGGTGAACATATACGGTATATATGGATCTATTGACCAACAGAGCACATTTTATTGCAGGTAAATTGAATTGACAACATAAAAAAAAAGGCTTAAAAACACATGTAGATGTCTCACCAATGAAAAGAAAGAGTAATGAGCATGTTAAACTGAAATCTCAAAAGAGATCCAGCATGCTGTTCCTTTCAGGACCATGGATAGCGAATGGGTTCACAAATAGCATTTCAGCACTCTGCAAGCAAGCGCAGACAACTTTTCATGGCATCTGTTATGTACAGCAAGGAAGCTTTTATAGCATCTAAAGCTTATTTTAAGATCTGTCTGCTTAAAGGGATAGTTCCTTTTACTTCCATTTAAAATCCATTTACTGACCCTCATGTTGTTCCAAACCTGTATGACTAAGTTCTTTTGTGGAGCTCAAAATGTGTTTTTTTTCTTTTTTGGAGGAATATATATATATATAATTTATTTATTTACTTACAAGTAAATGGGGTCCAGTGCTGTTTTAGACCCAACTAACTTACACTGTATGGACAAAAACAGATAAATTATTCTTCAAAATATGTGCTCCACAAAAGAAAATAAGTCATACAAGTCTGGAAAGACATTAGGGTGAGTAAACATTTTTGGGGTGAACTATCCCTTTAACATTTTCCTTTCTAAACATGTATTTTACTGAAAGCATTCTGTGCACATGCTTTCCCACAGTTCCTAAAAGCAGTGATCAGTGACACAGCAAGGTGTGTGTGTGGGTGGGCATGGCAGTAACTGCTGTTGTGCTTTGTCTTTTCATCTTAAGCTTCACCTCTTCCGGTTAGCCCCCAGAATATCTTTAGATTCTGTCTTAATGTCAGGCGCTGTAGTGATTGTGAAGGTGCGCCGCTGCATTGAGATGTACATGGCGTGTGTTGAAAGGTGCCTCTGCTGCGTTGATAAATGTCTCTTTCTCTGTCATCCCTCCAGCTGGGTGTTATGATAGCCGGCGTTACTTCCTGCAGTGTCGTCTCAGCCCTCCAGGCGATTTTCCCCTGTTATCTGGGCATCGCACATGAGAGCTATAAATGAGGGTTGAGAAATATAATAGCTCATGTGTGGAGATGGCTTTGCACTCATGAATAAAACATTCTTCTGTTAGTAAAGGACTGTTTACGCTGGACATGTGCCCGCCATCTGAGTAGAGCTGGACTTTGGGTGTGTGTTGGCTGACTATAACTTGCCTCTACTTTATAATTTTTGGTGCACGCTTTGTTAGTTGATTTTTATTTCCTGATCTGCTTAAGATTTGCATTGTTATTGATATCAGTTGTCTCCTTGCAGACATTACAGCCAGATGCTCCTCTGTACCCAGAAGAATTTGCAGGAATGTCTTGGTCTCAAATTCTCACACTGCCAAAGCAACAGGATGTAAAGGATCAGAGTTAAAACCCCTTTGAACTGCAGTCTCTGATCTGTCACAGAGGGAAAAAACAGGGCCTGTTAGTGACATAGGAAATGTTGGGATGGAAACCACAGAGGTTTGATTCTGTTGAGTTGTTTCAATTACCTTTGACTGATAGTTGACTGATCATTTTAGCCATAGTTCACTTCAAAATGAAACTTTTGTCATCAATTACTCACGTCGTTGTATGACTTTCTTTCTTCTGTGGAACACAGAAGACATCTTAAGATTTACTAAGTAAAAGCAGCTATCTTTAATTGCAATCATGTTTCACAATATTACTGTTTTTACTGTGTTTTTGATCTAATAAATGCAGCATTGGTGAGCATAAGAGACTTACTTCAAAAACATTAAAAAATGTTACCAACCCCACACTTTTGAATGGTAGTGTATACGCATAATGTTATGAAAGTAAAATGAGTTGCGAATGTTGTTTTTATGTCGACTTTAGCTGATCTCTTAGTGTTAGTGTTACTGACATAGGAAACGTTGGGATGGAAATCACAGAGATTTGATTCGGTTGAGTTCATTTTAATTACTTTTGTACTGTTAGATGAATTATCAATTGATTACTTTATAGGCATAGTTCACTCTAAAATGGACATTCTGTCATCATTTACTCATGGCATTGGTTTTGAAACAATTTTCACTCAGAATTTGCTGCAAATTTCCCCCAAAAAAACCCGCAAGCAACACATTGAAATAAGTTTTCTCTTATTTTCTCTTAAAACATACTCTTTTTTTTAAAGTTACAACTTTGATAAAATAATTTTTACAGTGTACGGTTAAAATATGATCTTGTCTTTGGAGATCTGATTACAGTTAGGCTACTGCGTGCACCTTTAATAAATGGCATTAAATTATTTCATTAACAATGGGGAAGATTATATAATGATATTCACTACATCGGTAGCCCCTAAATAGCTATTAAGCTGGGGGGAAAAATGGTGTAGTAACCGGCTTGCTTTTATTGTTTTCACTCATACATTTCTACTAAATGTCACAAACAATTACAAAGAAATGCCATGTAACACATTTTTTTGAAGTTGAAAAACTGAAATAGTATTTTCTTGTAAAACAATCCAATAATCTTTGTTTTATTTACAACTTCAAAGAATTTTTTTTTTTTCACTGGTTAACATGATTATACTCCACCTGCACGGCCTAGGTGACATCAGACGGAATGGAAAGTAATTTAGATTAAAACAATTCATTTTTTTTGTCTTTGAAATATTGTGCAATTATTAATTGTGCACAAAAGATTGTTAATATATTATGAAAGTAAATTTGGATTTTACTGTATGTTGACTTTTAAAAGTCAAGCACACAATTAAGAACAACTTTGATAAAATAATTTTTACAGTGTACGGTTAAAATATGATCTTGTCTTTGGAGATTTGATTACAGTTAGGCTACTGCGTGCACCTTTAATAAATGGCATTAAATTATTTCATTAACAATGGGGAAGATTATATAATGATATTCACTACATCGGTAGCCCCTAAATAGCTATTAAGCTGGGGGGAAAAATGGTGTAGTAACCGGCTTGCTTTTATTGTTTTCACTCATACATTTCTACTAAATGTCACAAACAATTACAAAGAAATGCCATGTAACACATTTTTTTGAAGTTGAAAAACTGAAATAGTATTTTCTTGTAAAACAATCCAATAATCTTTGTTTTATTTACAACTTCAAAGAATATTTTTTTTTTCACTGGTTAACATGATTATACTCCACCTGCACGGCCTAGGTGACATCAGACGGAATGGAAAGTAATTTAGATTAAAACAATTCATTTTTTTTGTCTTTGAAATATTGTGCAATTATTAATTGTGCACAAAAGATTGTTAATATATTATGAAAGTAAATTTGGATTTTACTGTATGTTGACTTTTAAAAGTCAAGCACACAATTAAGACTTCGTCAGTGTCTTCTTTGACAGTGTTGCCTCATTTAACACAGACATTTTAACAGTGAGATTTCTAAATGATATTCTAATGGCTACAAGACTTCATTGCTTTCCTAGTCTCATATTCTAATCAACAAAAATTCACAGTGATGAAGGACGTAACTGCTTTTGAGTTCACAATGAGCTTGTTTCCTTGCATGGTCATATCTTAATAACAATCAGAATGAGATAAAAGCTTCTCCCTCTGAAGGACTCTAACCTCTCATGTACCCCTGAGCAGATAATCAGCTCACCCTTGGCGATGAGCACTGGGCTTTTATAAGCTCGCAGGAATCTGTTTCCCTTTTCGGAGCTGTAAATTTGATAAATGGGAGGATTCTTCATTGAATAATCATATTCTGAATAATCAATCCCATTTCTGAAGAACAAGGGCAATCTAGCAGAGCTTTTAAGTGGCAATTATGTTGAAGCATTCGAGTTATAATACAGTCTTTAAGCGCAATCTCTTCGGTAATATGTGCTACACCAACTTTTCCAATTAAATTGTTTTGTTAACCTTAGTGACATTTTGAGTTTCAGCCAATCGTTAGAATGAGCTCACTGACATTATCAGACCAGAGATTGTTAATGTCAATCAGATCTGTGCACATTTTCATCCTGCTTCAAAGCACAGGGAGCAGTTCAAGACAACATGAAATCAAAATTGACCCTGTTTACCTTATCAATACATATCTTCATAATTTTTTTTTTTTTTTGCTCAAATGACTTTCAGGTTGTTGTTTTTAACCCTTTCTTTTCAAACCGCTATAAAACCACTTTATTTTTTCAATCAAATCAGTTCTTTTCCTGTTTCACTCATATACGCTACTGTTCAAAAGTATGGGGTCAGTGGGACAGTAAAGGTTTTTTTAAGAGAAATTAATACTTTCATTCAGAAAGGATGCATTAAATTGATCAAAAGTGACAGCAAGACAGCAAAGATATTAAAAAATAATCATAATTTCAGTAACTTTCAGATAACTTTATAATTATCAAAGAATTCTGAAGTTTCCTCAAAAAATATTAAGCTGTTTTCAGCATTGATGATAATAATAAGAAATGTTTGTTGAGCAGCGATTCAGCATATTAAAGTGAAGGATCATGTGACACTGAAGACTGGAGTAATGATAATAAAAATTCAGCATTGATCACAGAAAAAAAAGACATTTTATAATACGTTAAAATAGA